GCTGTACAGTACTACTGTATTTGCTGTATTGCTGTATCCATAATACTTTAAGCTACATACACATATTAATACACTGGGAATACCTGAAGAAGGCTCCATAGCCGAAATGTTGCGTTTCTTTTCTTCACTTTTCAGCATGGAATAAACCTTTACTTGTTCTTTTGCAGCCAGACGCAGCTCCCTACTAATACACTTATGATTATATTATATTGGATGTTGTGATTATACATGATTTTGGGTACACGCAGTATGTCGGGAAAGCTAACTACCGCGTAAAACACGAGTCTCCTGTACGTGTTTACGGGTGAGGCCATTCCTCCTTCAAGATCTTGAGGTGTATTATTTCCGCCACCGCTGGTCTGATTTCAGTACCTGTTGTGACTGCGGGGCTGTGTGAGTCGAGCTGCAGCGCTCTTAAGGTTTTTCAGGCTTTAGGCTTCTGTCGGAGGCCGGCTAACAGGAACCTGACCCGTTCGCCTCTGTGTGCCCTGTGCTCCCCCTGGCTCAGCCCTCGCCCCCCCTGGATCCAGCGGAGACGAAGCGCTCGGACCGCGAGCCGCAGGTGGAGGAGGCTCGGTACGGCAGCCTCACCCGGGGAAACCAGCGGAGAGAGGCGGACAGCGAAGCAAAGGCCGGCGCCCCCCACCTGGAGCGGTCCGGACCCCAGGAAAGGCCACCGGAGCCCGGCCTCGGCCAGCAGGAGGCCGAGACAGCGCACAGCGCCTCCAGGTGACGCTAGGAGGATGATAATCTTGTCCATCTCAGTATTCAAATCCAGACTGAAGACCTATTACTTCAGCCTGGCCTACTCGCACCTTATATCATAACTTGCTGTACATGCCATTGTGTGTCTCTGTGTTGGCCCACCAGGTAGATAGATCTGTTCTGGCCACACTATCCTATTCTGGTTTCACAGACTTGTGACTCGAATGAATGTATTCTCCGATTCTGAGGTCACCTTTGGCCGGCCTGAACTTTTTCAGTCCTCAGGAGTGCCGGTTTCTTCCTGTTGTTGGCTAGTCGTGGCCACAGCAGTTACTGACACTTGCAGAGTCCTTGCAATTTGTCTTAAAGATATTGACCTTTTTTTCTTAAAGTAATTATTGACTGTCTTTTTCTCCTTGCTTGCTGAGCACATTTTGTTCATTCAGGAATGACAAACCTTTGCCTATGCTCCCTATATTCATAGTAAACGTGGACCCTCGCCTGTTTACCGATAATTGGTGACAAAAGGTAAATGAGGTAACATGCTAGTTAACCGTGAGACCAACTAAAAAAGAGCATTTTAAACTTCTTTTAGTGTTCTAACACCATTTTATACACATTTCTGACATTTAACTAATCTGGGTATCAGACTAAAATCCACTTGCTTTGGGTGTTCATTTTATGGAATGGAAAATGAACATTTTCAATGCAGTTCCCTTAAGATTATAAGTACATGTATCATGTAATTTAATATGAAGTGTTTATAGACAAGTTTATTCAGTTTAAAGCACAGATAATCATGAAACACCTGGTTTCAAGCTGGTGTACTCGTACCTTTTGACTGGTACTGTATGCTTCAAAATAACAGATGATTCAGTTGGAGACTTGCCAGGTCATATTAAACTATCCAGCTAAGTCAACCTGGGCATAATATGGGAGTGTGAGATGAATTATGACTTGGCAGGCATGTTATCTCAACCTGTCCGTCTGTTTTGTGGGGGTACAGGACAGTAGAAACTGCAGATGTCCTGGGTTCATCCACTCATCACCCTGATCCCAAGCAGCTGAGGAAACTCAAGCAGCAGCAGCTACAGCAGAGGTTCCGGGAGCAGATGATGGCAAAGAAGACGCAGGAGGAAAAGCAGCTGAGCATGGACGTCACAGCGCCCCCTGGAGGTTACAAGCCTGGCGGTTTCCAGGGTGAGAGGGACAGAGAAAGATGCGGCGGAGATAATGCACTTTTAACCTGTTGAAAGCTTTCAAGGAGTAGTTCAAAGAGAAGGGATCTACATTATGAGTAAGAGCTCTCCAACCTTTAACATTTTCAGCCTGCTGGTTTTTCCAGTGTCACTCACTGATAATTAAAAAGCTTCTTATAACTTGCATAGTTTTGTATGCTTCTTTGAAAAAGCAATACGCCTGAGGTCAAGTGGTTTAAACAGCAGCAGTAATATTCTTTCATTTTGTACTGGTGCCAATGAGGATGTATGACTGAACTGTTGTTTTCAGGCTTGACTGAAAACCTGTGCTGGCTTTGGGGTTGACACAATGCAAGACATTGCTTTTACTTGCTGAAAATCTTGTATTCCGTCATTCTGGTCAGGCTCAGTCAGATAAGTTTGAAATGATCAGACCTGCAACTTTTGTCAGAGTCTGTGACAGCAGCTTTATCACCTCGCAACTCATAGCTGGCAGCCCCACTGAAGCTCAGCAGGTGTGAGCCTGGTCAGTACCTGGATAAGAGACCTCCTGGGAAAAACCAAGGTTAATGCTGGAAGAGGTGTTTGTCAGACCAGTAGGGGGCGCTCACCCAGTGGTCTGCGTGGGTCCTAATGCCCCAGTATAATGACCGGGACACTATACTGTTAAAAAAGGCACTATCCTTCAGTTGAGACCAAGGTTCTAATTAAAAACTAAGGTCCTAATTCTCTGTGGTCATTGAAAATCCCAGGGCATTTTTTAAAAAGAGTAGGGTTGTGACCTAGCCAAATTTTCCCCTGGCCTTTACCAATCATGGCCTCCTAATAAACCCCATCTCTGAACTGGCTTCATCACTCAGTTCTCCTCACCACAGAGAGCTGATGTGTGGTGAGTTTTCTGGCAGACTATGGCTGCTGTCGCATCTTTCAAGTGGGTGGTGGTGGAGAGGGGGCCCTATTATTAT